GGGAATGGCCACAAGTTATGTCGGTGGTTAAAAAAAAAAAAAAAAAAAAAAAAAAGCACGAAGTCATAATCATAAATTACGTTAAAGTGCCGGGAAAGCGGTTAGTGCCACGGTCGTTTCTAGAACGGACACAGAGTTAACTCGGAAGAAGCTGTATAAGTTCTCCCTTGCAAAACATGGAAAAATATGGTCTCGAGTATGTTCGCCTAGGCCAAACGTGACAAAAACAATAATAAATGCAACAAAGAACTCTAGAGTAAGATGGTTATACTTCAGTAGTTATCCGAGCAGCTGTGTAATACACTATAGTACATATATACGTATACACTATAGGTATGACTGTTTGAAAAATAAAAAAAATACATTTATTTATTTTTTTTTTAATTTTCCCGCAGGTTTTCTGAGACCCGGAATAAGGGATGACGCTGCCAGTAATTTTGGCCTTCTGGATCAAATAGCTGCGCTGGTGTGGTTACAAGAAAATATTGCCGAATTCGGTGGTGACCCTAACAGCATAACTTTAGTAGGTCATGGAACTGGGGCCATTTTCGCTAATTTGTTACTCATAAGCCCTGTTGCCAATAACGAAGGTAAGTCTGTGAACCATTATCTGTATATTTCGCTAATGAATTTATTAGTCGGCACTTCTGATTCCTGATTACCAGTTGGAAAAATGTGTTCAATTTTTTTCTGCAATATCTTTTTTTCCTACGATATATCGACGCGATACATTTAATTAAGTAATTGAAACACATTGAAAATACATAACGATATTTGATATCAGCATATTTTTCATGCTAAATAAGAAAACTGATAATCGTATTTTCATGGAACATACATGGGCCCAATGTAAATTCTTTCTGGCGAACCGCAATAGCTGCGCGACTGGTTAATAATTACATTGCCTAATGAAAAATAATTATAGTTAACATTGTACAACCTGCGCGAAGTGAAACGTCGCGGTTGGATACTTTATTAATTCCACGTGTTTTTATTATCCGTATATACAGGTCTTTTCAATCGAGCCATTTTAATGTCAGGCTCCGCGCTGAGCGCGGATGCCATTGGAAAGGCGCCTTTGCAAATAACGAAACAGGTATTATAATTATTTAAAAAATTTTTTCCCAAATTATTAATTACGATATTAATATGATATTATTTATAATTTTAGGTAGCATACGCTCTGAACTGTCCTACCGTTACGGACAGTGAACTCGTGAAGTGCTTAAGAAATCGTGATCTCGAGTCACTATTAAATGTGAAAATTCATAAGCCTAAGTATGTCCCAGCGTACGCGCCACTTATTGACAGTGCTGTTATACCGGGTAAACCGTTGGATTTAATGGAGAATACTCAACTGTTCGGCAGGTACGATAAGACACGTTAAATGAATCTGATAATGAAAAGGAAAATACGGAATGCCACTCAGGTAGCTAGGTTACGGTAGAGAGGATCGGGAATAAGCGTCAGGTAAATAGTGCAGGAACAGATGAAATCCTAGAAAATCGAAATCCCTTCGCTAATTAAGAAATCGAGAGTGCTCATGGAAGCTGGTTCTGCTAATTCATGAAGGCCGGGAACTGTAGCCAGGGACCCTACGTGGGCACTGCCCGACTGTACCACTACACAGCAGTGCACTTCGGAAACACGCATTTAAAATCGATAGGATTTTGTTAACGTGGAGAGAACGAGCACGAGAACTAAACTGCCGAGAACTTTTCGTGCCGTATAGGCAATATAGCCAGAAAAACTATCAGCAGAATAGCAACTCGAGTCATCTTTTCGGTGTTCTAAGCCAGGGACCTGCCTTTGACAATAGCAAATTTCCTGAAAAAATCATTCCGGTTGGTCGAATTCCCTTTAACCAATAACTAACATCCCCTTTCTCGAGTCGTCCCTTATACTATATCGAGGCCGTATTTGGGCATATCGGTAACGTAAAAAATCGAAGGATCCTCCACGACCGCTTCCTCAGTACATAGGACGAAATCAGGGCTGGACAACCTCAACTCGGACCAGGGTGTTCCTCCACTGCCCTTAAGTTCCATCTAAGCTCTACCGGCCCCTGCTCTCCGGTCCATTGGCTCCCTCGGTACCACATCCGGAATTCTGCAGGTCCGTGGTGACGTGTCATGGGGCGCTCACCTTTGCCGGGCAATTCGTTTCGCCGAGACTATCTCTCCGGGACAGATTCGAGCACCTGAACAAAACATTTCCAGAGCTTTGCCGTAACTGTATTAATATATCCGAGAGCGTAATTTCTCAGCAGGTTGGCGACTCGAAAGGAACCAGAAAGCGCGAACGTTATCCGAAACGATAGTTGAAGTCGTCTTATTAACGTGAATTGAAAAATCATATCACAGCGGGTATATAAATAAAGAAGAGACGAGTACTGTTCCATGTGAAAGCTGTTCTTATTGACTACAATGAGGAAGACTTTAGAATATAATTTATAATTGTGTAAAAAAAAATCAATCTAAAGCGATACTCTGGTTCACAGCGTTCAGTTATTAGCAATTAAGTATTTTCTCTTCAACCGTACTAATGAACGTCTATAAAATAATTATCCTATTTCCATGCACAAGTTACGTAGCCGCTGCTGTAGTTTCTCAGACGAGAACATTCATAGTGCATGAACAAATATTCGCAGATTCGATTTGATGTACGGTGTTACGGAGTCGGAAAAGTTTCACAATTTGCCACCGGTTGCTGTGGTCCATGGGATGCTGAATGAACAGCGCGATGAGATTCTACGAGATCACGCTAAGGTTGGTATTTCTAATTTTCTGATTATTCGTGCGTTTATACTGCGGATAATTGCATTAAGTCTTTAATAAACAGTTTGGTGAGTTACGTAATTTCCATAATAATATATTACGGCGCTAAATGCAAAAGGGCGTATAAACATTTAATTTTTAACAAACTTACTAACTTAGCTTTAATTCATTTTTAACTCTAATTGATTTTTTTTTTGCAGGGCATGTAATAACTAGTGAATGCGTATAAGATTAATGTATCACAATTATTATTATATTTAATGTAACTATAATGACGGTCCGCGATATTTTTTTCGAATAAAAATTGAACACCTCATTTTTTTTATTTTCCAGGCTACCCATGAACTCGAACCGGAATTAGTACTGTCGAAAGTACTGGAACACTACGGGGACTTTTCGAGCGGTTTCACAAACGAATACGCAACGAAGAATCGCGAAATTGTTCTGGAAGCACTTTCGGACAGTGGCACTGTAGCACCGTTGGTAATGACTGCCAATTTGCATTCAAAAGCAAATCCAAAAAGCTACATGTACGTCTTTTCGCATCCAAAAGCCATGCAGGACTATTCTGGCGTAAGTGACTTACGAGAAAAATTGTGCAAGCTTTGATAAGATCGTAGATGAAAATTGGGGTAAAAAATATGAAAATAAAAAAAAAAGCCACAGGAAATCCCACGAGAACACCAAGAGAGAAAAGTGTAAAAAAAATTAAGAAATTCAATCGTCATAAATTTACCGATATACGTAAATTACAAAAAAAAAGGGCACTGAACCAATATACACGTAAAGTCCACGTCTGACTACATACGTAATTATCTACTTACGCGTATCTGTACCTCTCATGTGTTATACCCGTATTATCAATTTGTATTTAACTATATACAAACTTTATGTCCACCGTATAAATACGTAAGAAGTAAATTCAAAGTACAAATATTTGACTACATTACGTTACCTTTTGTTATCTTTCAGCAACAGCGTCAACGCACTGTACATGGAGAAGAGTTGGCTTATGTACTGGGTGTCCCACTCGACGGTGGGAAATATCACTTGCGCGGCAGATACAACATTGGCGAGACCTTATTCGCCGAAGCTATGATGATGTGGTGGTGTAACTTTGCACATACCGGGTGAGAGGATTATTTGATCTTCTGAAAGTGCTTCTCGAGCGTCGCTATCCGCAGTATCTACATACGTAGCTCGATGCGAATCACCTTTCTTCGCGTGGCGATTTTATTGAAAGTTCTACAGTGCCACCTTATCATATCAAAGAATCCCATTTTCTTCGTACGTAACACGTGTATCGAGTTTACCTTATTCAATACGTTTATATACTTTTTCTTGTCTTGGTTCATAACGTAATATTTGTACAGGAATTTCGGAACCAATTGAATCGAATTACTTCACGCTGAGCTGTCAGGGTGTGCTCGTTGATTTCACTCGTTAGCAGGTAAAGGGGATTATTATATAAATGATTGTCAATGGATTTGAATTGACTTGCAGTGCTGTTGTGAGAATTGACAGTTGAAAAAAATATTGGATATAGTATACGAAAACTAGTACCATGCTAAACGATCGTATAGACATCGTAGGGTGAGGCTGGAAATTATTGTAAACGTTATTGATGGTAACGGCAGTGGTTTTTCTTTTTTTAATTAACGGGAACGTCGAGCCATTTGAAAATTGGCCCGTCCAAAGTACTCGAATGTATTACGCTTTTGGATAGACGCCGCGTTTCGAATCGAGCGACGTTGACGCGCGTCACGGTAAAAACACAATTTTCAATTAACCTCGCATTTGAATATTTATGCACCATCGTAAATTCATCCCCCCCGGGGTGGTATCAGGCTGGAATAGATTTGCTTGTGCCGGGCTGTCTAGGCAACAATAACGATAACAACACAATGACGATACAAGAATAATAAAAATTTTAAATAAGAATTTTGCATCGTAGCCTTATCAATTAAAAATGAAATTTCACATAGAAACTTTTTCAAAATTTTTTTTTTCATGAAACTCAAAATTCTTCGCGTAAAAAGTTTCCCATACACTCGCCTACTTACGGGTGCTACGAAATGGATAAAATATTTGCATATTCGGATTTTTGAAAATTTTATTCATTCTCAAATGTATCGTCGTAAATTTTCAAGTATTTCACGTTCTAATTAAATATTCGACCAAACGACGACGTGCTCGTTATTATCGTTTCGCGCACGAGCAACTTCAATGTTCGATATAAATATCATATTCCTCCAATATTTGATAATAAATATCATATCCCTCGATAGAGCCACGAACGCTCTTCGTATAGGAAAATTCATTGATTTTAATTCAATGATTTTCACAGTAACATCTGATATTGTTGCATTAACGCTCGAACTCATAGCAGTTGTTATAATTTTCCAAAAACGGCAAACGAATTACCTTTCTACGGACGCACTGTACAGCTGTTTCAGTATAATTTCCAAGAGGAAACAGTAAAGCTGTGCGATGTCGGATTAATACAAGGTAAAAACAACTACCATCCGGTTCCTGTTAAATAGTTTTTCCCAATTATAAAATAAAGCAATAAAATACCCTAGTAACGTAACATTGCGGGATGGGCGAATAAACATTAATTAAAAGCAGCACAAAACAATAATCATTCATCAAGCTTCCACGCCGCGAACAAAAGAAAAATGATAAAAAGGTAACGCGACAGAATAAAACAAGACAGACTACACTGGCTGAAGAAAAATTTTCAAACTTTTTCTTCAATTCGTCATTTAAATACACAAAAGTGCAGAAACGAGTTAATAAACATTTAATGACAATAAAAAATTCCTTATATCCTATAATTATATCTTACGTAATTAGTAATAATTAACATTGTTTAATTTCCTAATTATCTCAGACTCCCGTTTCCCAATTTATGTATACTTACACCTTCCCCCTGTCTACGTTACCATCGCTATTCAGTTTACGCATACTGGAATCCTCATCTAGCCCAACGTCCAACTTGGTTAATTAAACAAACGAAAAATGTAAAATAATCGGATTCCACGCCGAAGCATCTCCTCGGTATCAATTTCTCCATTTGTTTTCCCTGCCTAGAAACACCCAGCCTTCTATTACTATTTATTTCAAACCCGTTCACGCTGCTCTGTCACGTGCTATTCACCTCTGCCAAATCACTAAGTACGGGACACGTATGCATATGACACGAGTTCGGAATCTGTGAAAACTAGGTCGATCCAATTAAGCGAAACAAAGCTCTTTAGTACCTACACGTGGAAGTAGATGCTTCGCGTGAATTCACCTTGCCCAGGATCGATATCGTGCAGCTGCTCTCTTCTGCATGTTGATAGGTCCGTGTTTGAAAAAAAAAATGTAATTGAATGTGAAAGTAAGGGACACGAGGAGAAAGGAAAGCGCGTAAAACAGAATACCTGAAATACTTTGAAACTATTTTTCAAAAAAATAAGATACAAATATCGGTTGGTATTCGGAACGAAGGTATGCAGGGTGCATCAGATCGTAAGACTCTAACGAGTTGTTTGCTAATTTCACGGAAGGTCGTAACGTTGACGTGAGACTAGATGGTAACTATCCAGGTATCGCGTGCAATATTACGATTAGGTTAGCGGCCATTTAACGAAGAGACTGAAATTAGCGGCGGTTACGTCGCATCTATCGGATCCTGCACGACGACCAGGAGACCAGGTTGCATTGCTTGCAGAATGGGATTCTGCTTAAAAGTTTCCTTACCCACTGTTCTTTCTTGCTCTTTTTATTTTATTCCTGACTTAATTACCTGCTCGTGCTTCGGAGTTCAAGCTGCCTTTATTTAAGGTACAATTGCACGAGATGTTCGGCGGATTCGAGTGAGCCGGTATATATATATATATATATATATATATATAGTCGCGGAAACTCGGTTCCCTGTAGAAAATTTACAGTTGACTGTTAGCCGATGGAATCCGTAATAGGGTATTCAGGGAAAAACATAAAGGAACAGAGGAGGATGCTCTGGTAATTACAGTACGAATTCCAGTGACCGTTTACGTGATACCCTGCTTTTTTTTTTTAATTAGAAATCCCAACGCGCCTAGAAGGTCTACGTATCTGACGGATGGACCAAAGGAGTGGCTGCAGTATGAGATTGATTGGCCCGAATACGATCCTGAGAATCAGACCTACTTTAATCTGAGTGAGTGACGACCCATGAATTTTTAAATGAATGATTAAAAATTTTTTTTTCTCCTTTTTTTTATGTTTACAGCAATTCCTCCAGAGGTTGGTGTACGCTATCGAGCCAACGAGATGCTATTTTGGAACGAGTATTTACCCAACTTGATAAGGCATCCTAATCTTGACATCCCGGCACCAGGTACCAGAGCGGGACCACGACCCGAGATTCTAGACATTGCTGACGGAGTTGGGAAATACGCGAATGGAATGTTTAACGTGAATTCAGAAACTAATACGTTAAAGCACAGTACGGGAAAGTCAAGTGTACCGGACGGTCAAAGGATTGACGTCGATGCGGACGGGAAGGATTCACCGGGATATCCTTTGTCGAATTCTCCCAGCAACGAGGCTGAAGATGACGTCCGAGCAACGACACCGGAGCCAAGTGGACTTAAGAGTACCTCAGCCATATCAATGGTCATCGGTTTTGGATTGGCGTTTCTGCTGATAAATCTGACAGTTTTCTTCTATCTGTATCGTAAGCGTCATGCCTTGAAGAGCAAAGAAAAAAATCTTAAGAGACGTTTGAGCCAGAAGGACGACGGCTCGAAGCGTGCGAAATTGGAGAAGCTCGCTGAGAACGCAGAATTGGGGTACAGGAGCGACAGTAAACCGGATTTGACCGAATTGATAAAGAACGATAAGGCGTACGATAACAATTCGAATTTTGGTAGAAGGTCCAAACTCTCCAGGCAGAATTCAGGATCCACCATCGACACTCACATCAAAGTCCGCGAATGGATACAGCAGGAAATAGTTCACAGGTTAGTTCCTACCTGTAACTGTACCCTGCACTGACGTAATTAGAAGACACGAAGTTTGCCGAAAGCTACTCGACAAAATTCCACTTAGATGAAGATGCGTTCAAATCGCTCGAGTAGCCCTCTGATCCAATTACAGAATCCTTGTTACACTTGGCTCTTGCTTGAGATGCCCACTTTTGGGCATCTGCATCCATGTTAACCTCGTTAGGATCGTTACGAGCTACTTGTCGTTCCTGGATTCTAATTGATTGAATAAAAGATGCATCCGTAGAATATCTATTCGTGTATTTGCATGACTCTTAGCTCGTACCCCTAGATCCAATCTGATGGGAAAATGTATTTTCATTGGGTAACAGAGTGAAAAGTCGTAATTGTAATTGGCAGTGGAGTTTGATTAAAGGATTTTCTTTCGTAATGCCGGGACTAGGGTATTCGTTACATTGATCCAATTGAAATATTACCACTGAACAGAATGGAATAATATGGTATCACTCGAGTGCTCGTGATAATTAGAAATAATAATGACGAAGCGTAACGAATGGTATCGTTAATTGCTTGCCTGTTGGATTTTATGCACTGGTTTACCTCGATGCATAATATTTTAATGGATTTTATACGATGCGCCGTTACAACCTTCTAAACACTCACGGGCGTCTTTTAATCGACGGTTAAATCCTTTACGACTTAAACGTACGTTTACCTTGTATTCTTAATACAGCGAAAAGTAATTCAATTGCATTTCAATTAACTGCATCCTGGAGTGCATTTACCAGTGGGTGGATCCATTAAATCCTTTAGTTCGTTCCATTGGAACTGAACGTATTAACTTCTGACGAGACTGTGTGTAATTTTTTAATTACAGGTAACGATTGTTTTGACCTGGGAACGAAAAATTTTTAATTCATTTTGTTTCTTAAAGGTGTTCACCGCGCTTTCTACGAAAGACCCGCGAGACACTGCAGAAGGAGCATCAGGAGAAGCTGACGAAACAGCAGGAAAAGGAGGAGAGATTGAACGAGTTGGAAAAATTGAAAGACAAAAAGGACGAGCCAATCTACGACGAGAGTCCAGCCCTTATCGTGCGTCCTGGAAAGAAATCAAAATTGCCCAAAGTTTCGGTAGCCATAGACGCTACACCGGCTACTAGAACCGAATCGATACTCAATCAAATACCAATCGAGCTGGTAAAGGACGGGGAATTATCAGACGTGGGATTGGATGCTGTCGATGCGGAGACAATTGGACCAAACGGGACCCTGATCACGCCTCAAGTCATTGTAATAGAGCATCACCATTCAAAAAGTGACCCGTTACCAATGGAGAACGTATTGAAAAACGTGAAGCCACATTTTTCAAGTCCAAAGATCTACGAATCAGATTCCGGAAGTGCGAGTAGCCTCTACGCCAAGATAAATCCCAAGATGAAGTCTCGTTTGCCGCGCATGGGACCCATCGGCAGCGCTGATGAAGTCTCGAACGAAGCTAAAACCGGAAATGACAGTCTCTACGACCAAGTCCCACCCGAGGATCCTTATGGGAAGACCGTACCCAAGCTAACTACCTTTGGTAGCAAGGTACCGAGCTGTGACATAAACGTCACCTGCAGGGAACCTACTGCCGAGAGGGAGAGCGTAAGCCCTGAAGAAGCTCTGAAGACCATAAAGCGCCGGAAGTATCCAAAAGTTCTGCCGGACATCGAGAAGAGACGGTCTCTGCCAGTACCTAATAGTTTATTTATTCCCAAGCAGCATGGAAACTCTTTGAAGGACTATAAGAACAACTCGCAGCCGACTTCGCCATCTGGACATCCACCTCTGCCACCACCGAGGATCTTTGGTACAACCAAAAGTCTCGATCTTGCTGAAGAGTCTGAGGTTCAGAATGAGAATGAGCCTATTACCACGAATCTTCACGTAGGTCCATTGTTGAAGAGGGAAAATTCAACCAGGAATAATTCAGATCCAAGTATAATTGAGAACTTTGAATCTCCCGCCAATACCACTGGCTCTTACAGTACTCCATCCATAGACCGATACAGACTGATTGATAGTCCCGATGGAGCTTACTCAAGTTCAAAATGTTCTATTCGTAGGCCGTATCTGTTCCCACATAACGTTGTGGCGTCTGACACGAGTTTGAATCGATCCGACATTGTAGGAAGTTCCGTCACCAATTCCAACTGGTACAAATCGAAAGACATGATATCTTCGACTGATCAAACCTCAATTCCTTTAGGTATTGATACCGGCATTGGTAATCCTAACTGGTACAGGCAAATTACAGAGGGTAGTAATGAGAATGAGAATTTCCAGTCGCCTGCGGCTCGTTCAATGCCTGCCATAACGGAGCCTCAAATTATGATGAGTTCCAGAGATTCAAGTATAGACAAAGTTCATCCTAATTATGGAGGCTCCCAAAATTGGGACGGTAAAGGATCGGCCGAGCCAAAAATCGTTATCACGCCGAGAGTGGGAAATCTTTTGGGACAGTCCGGACAAAATTTGAGTCAGATGGTCACGAATCTTACTGCACGCAGAAATATTGATCAAGAACCAAAAATAGTTATTACACCCAAACACGAAGTGTTGGACAGTGCGAAGATAATTACACCAGAGCCAAAAATAGTGATAACGCCAAGAGTCGAACCGGGTTTTAATTTATCAAGCGTTCAGACACCATTGAGTCACGTCGATGATGTCTGCACGATAGCAAAGCAGGAGCGCAAAGAGCCCAAAATAATAATAACACCGAAAGATCCAAAAACTGGATCTTCGTCAAATTTGAAACAACCTAAGATAATAATAAAGCCAACGACCAATCCTTCCAAGTCTAGGGACAACAAGAATATTCCAAAAGTGTCGGCCATCCCGCCGCCAGAGTGTCAGAATTTTCAAAATAAAGAAAAGGACCAAGTGCTCGAGAGAGATTTTCCATATACAGAAAAACCTCCACTTAAAGAAAAACCAAAGGTTACTAGAATTCCGTCATTTTCAAAGAGGAAAGACGAATCTCAAGTCAAAGCTGAAAAATCATCCAGTCCTGTATACGCAGAAAAAACGGAAATTATTCAGATAATAAACGCGATACCAACCGATAAGGCGATCAACGTACCATTGATTCCAACTTTGGAAAATAAGTCAGGTATACCAACGTTATTGAAAAAAGATAGTGAAAAATCATCAAGCACCGATTCCTCGGCCAGTACAACAAATTCCAGTAACTCAAATACAGGAACAATAAAGAGGAAGCCGACCAATAAGAAATAATTATCAAGTAAAATATTTATCAGCGGACTATTAACAAATACAAACTCAAAATTAATTTATACATTTGTATCTTTCATCTATATTAATCAAGCCTGAAAATTTTTTTTCCTATTTCATACGTAATCATTAAATAGGCTTTTTACTTGATCTGTAATAACACGTAAAGCAGTTAGTTACATTTTAACGAAAATTTTTATTATTTTTGGAATTATTAAAAAAAAAACTATTCCAAAACCAATCCAAAAAATAGACACGCTTTACTTTAGTTTCGGATGCTAGTCGTAGCTTTTGGATGTCAATTATCGTTATAGAATCTTTATGTCCTATTAAGTCCAGCATGTACGTATATATATTTATTTTTCAGTATATTATACTAGTTTGATTCTTTTCTACGTGTTTTGTTCTTGTACCGCGATCGAAATATATCATTTTCCTACTTTTGTAGCAAATCATGACCTGTCATTGCTACCCTAGATTACCTACACGTACTGATATAAAAATAAGATAAATTAAAAAAAAAATTATTTTCGCCCTCTACAAAAAATTATCTTCTCCTAAGCTTCCCTACTTTCAATTAAGATCCGTTCCGGCGAATTACTGTTATATGGTATTTCCGTAAATAGAAATTTACTTAGCTTAACCCTTCATTAAATTCTCTTGATCCTGACTATAGTCAACCCAGATGAGTTTCTTGCGCTCTCCCACGAAATCCCTTCAGGACAAGAAACTGTTAGTGTTTATAGCAATTACTTCGTCGGAGAGCTCGTTCGATGACGTCATCCACGAAGGACTTGATCCACCTGAAGTAATTATATATCGGATCCAAAGTTACGAGGAAAATTTGTAAATTTGATATGGACGTTGACGTTGACTGGTTAATGAGTTAAATTATCAAAGTTCAGTAGAAAGTCACTAAAGGGTTCATGTTGATTTTTGTACGTTAGATTTAAAAATATAATAATTAAATCGATGCCACCTAAAATTTGATTAGCTAAAATTCAATAAAATTATTACACGGTACCAGTGCAACCGAAAAAGCACTTTCATCGTGAAAACATTGTATTTTGAATTTCTGCACTGGTTACGTTCCTGTATAATCGTATTAGTCCTTGAAAAAAATGAAATACATAATTATTTTTATTAATTGAAATTATATTCATTTTTCAAAAAAATAATACAGCTAAATTGGAATTGTATTATAATGACGTTGACAAGGAAATTGGTCACGCGATAAACTTCCAAGAGAAAAGCCATTCGTCGAGAAAACATTGAAACAAGGGAATAGAGATAGTGAATTTACGAGGCGTCTTAGAAATTAATTACTTATTTAATCGCTTGCGTTCAACGAGTTAAGTAACTGCACTTCCATGCAATATTGCATTCCTTCTTAGTGCATCCGCTTACTCGGCATACACGACAACCGTAATTAATTCAACGAGTAAAAGCGATTCGTGTTTACGATTGGCTTTCTGCTAAAAACAGTAAATTACAATGTGAAATGCAAAATGAAATTTATCATTTTTAATTAACATGAATAAATTATACCAATCTTATCACGGTTTCTAACCAGGCAAAATTATGACAATTTTTTATATTACTTATTTCCATACATACACAGAACTACATGCCTAATCTAAGAATGACTCAAGAAAATGTATATATCCCAGCTTCCCCACAATATTCAAAGGACAAAGGAATACCCTGAATATCGAGTAACAAAAATTTCTTATTTAATCTAAGGTGTCATATCTATGCCCTATTGCGTAGCCAGCGTTTAGCAAGCGACAAGTATTCGAATCCACGTTAAAGCCAATGGCATTAACCCTTTCGTTACGAGCGCCGGATATAGCCGGCATCCATTCGATGACCCGTGTGTACGAGCGCCGGATATAGCCGGAGGCCGCGAGACCACCTACCCTGACTTCGTTGGTAGCACAGAATCTACTACTTTGTTAATATGTAAATTTCTGAATACCCACAATATACTCATTTTTATATTTTTCTATATAATATGACGAAACAGTTACATAACTCTTAAAAAAGTATACATACAAGACAATTCCAAAGTGCCATTGAAAGACGTAAGCGCAGTGCCCCGTTCAGTAGCGCTACTCCCGTGGAACGGACTGCCGTAGCGAAAGGGTTAAAGCCAACGGTAAGTCCTTAGCACAAGACTAGTTAGACGCGAAGGCAGTTCACCCACCTTCAAAGTGAAATATTAACTTTGCGTGTTAGAACAGTCAGGGATTTTACAAGTTACATAACTGAATGGCCAATTTATAAACTAATTGGATAATCTATGACAATACGGAAACAATCTAATTATTAATCCAAACACTAAAGAGTATATGTATATGCATATATAAACATAACACCAGCCATACAGCACACCGTGAAATGTATAAATTGAACAACCACGTAATGACAGTCTCTAGGAAGACTAGCAGTTCTTTTAGTCCCGCATTGTAGCCTGTAATATAAATTTAAGAAATATCTGTTACGTAAGTCTTTATAGCGAGTGGTATTTAAAAAATTATATACATATATATATACACACATAGTGATGTACAAAAACAAATGAATTCTCACGTAGGAGCCCGCCGTCTTTTTCTAACTACTTTACGTTGCTTTCGGATCTTCTTGGTACCGTGAATACATTTTCGTGATTGCACGTTTTATATTGAAAAAAAGCACCAACTAATTAATTCCGCGAGCGTAAATAAGGCGGTTCTGGGTGAAAGGGCAGAAAAAGAGAGGGAGTAATAAACGCTAACCAAAAGTGGACTTGGTGCGGTGGGACGAGCGAGTGGAGAAAAAAAAAAGGGTGGAAGAAAAAAAATACCCAACAGCACCACAGGTCGAGAGGTTCTCGCGATGCAGTAACTTTCAAGAGTTATCATTTCGCAATGGCGTACTGTCATAACTTTTAACTTCGCCCTTTGTCCGCGGAACTTTATTATTAAGTAAAACAAAGTCTATAACTCATACAGTGTGCCCCGTGACGAGGGTGAAGAGAAGTATGACGAGAGGGAAGTTCGGGGTGGTAGAGCAACCCTGTTTGCTCTCCAAGTTAGCACTTATGTTGCCATGAGAAAAATTCAATTGATTTTCCTCTTTGGCGACGCCACTGGGTGGGGAAATAAAGGTCCAGTTTTTCTTGCGTGACGTCACGCGAGCCAATACAGTGCGTAAATCGATTTATGGAAAATACAGTAGAATTGTTTGTTTGTTGTTTATTTATCTCTTCTCTCTCCCACCCCCCACCCACCCCTCTCTCGCTCACTATTCGCAACCCTTTTGTTTCCTGTCAGTTTTTGAAAACTTTTTCGAGCGCTAAATCAGTCGACGCGTCGATTTACCCAGAGGTCAATGAACTCGTGACGATTATTTTGGTTCGGGTAAAAAAAATTGTTTCAAGCCACATCAGCCATGCGTGTCCCCGATATGTTCAACTTTGTCACTACTTTTTTTTTTACACTCAGCCGTGCAATTTATACGCAAATTTTACTATGCGGTCCTTAACGACACTTCAAAGCACCTCGTAGCCTTCGATGGTAAAATGCGCGAGCGCCTCTGGCTATCCGTGACAGGAATGTCCGCGATTCCACGTGATGCAACATTTTTCACCGGCTGTCATTAAGCTTGATAAATTAATGAATTCGGACTTTTTGATCTTTTCGCGTTTTCAGCGTACAGTTACCAGCCGTATGCGAATATGATTATTGCGCCATAAACAATATGAAAAATAATTGAATACAAGTGAATTGGTGACGCTTATCGTACCTTTATCGTACAAAGTGCACAAATGGCGGTCCTCCATCACGGCCTGTCGTATAAACCGAGAGGCTCGTATATTTCCATATATATTGAACGGATATCCCAGCGACGAGGATACACCCGATATACGCGTATATGAAGATATTACACAGGTACTTCAAATTTTATCAAAATCGTCACCCGGTACACTCGATAATGAGTATCAAAATTTTTTTTCAAAATACCAAAAATTATACCCATATCTTCCTCCCTCCGCGTCATACTTTTTTCTATTATATGATTCACCCCCTGCCCCCTTCTATGCGCCACGAAACTAACCGGATCGCCGGTACTACGATTTGAGAGGGGTCCAGGAATAAAATTAATTCCTTGCTAGACACAACTTCAGTCTCAGCGCCTCTCGACTATCAACAAGGGATGAACATTTCAGGAAGGAAGGCAGAAAGAAATAATGGAAGGAAGAAATTAGAATATAGACCCTTGTAAGAAAAGCTTTCGAAGCACCCCTCGTTTGACGGCTACGCAATACGGTTAGTGTTATGTCAAAAAGTAAATGGCCTTTTCTATATATATATAGGCCGATTCAGAAATAACCTGTGAAGCCGCCTCGTACGAGCATGTAAAATCTGTAGCACGTATCTCCAGACTGTCGATGGATTCGATGGTGTCCAGTTATGTATGCAGATATATTATTATGCAGATACGTGCATTAAACCGGCCGTATACTGTCTTCTCATATATGGCAACTGGTATATACTTATATGAACATGGTACTATATGACTATCTGTATATATGTATACATAAGGTACAACAAGAAATGACCGTTTCGAAAATATATTCCGGGTCGAAGATTTGCATTGGCAAACGGCCATTTGCCTTCGATTCGCTCTTCGGTTATCGCGTATCACGCGAGATTCGCCAATGCCATTTCATAGTAAGTACAGACACCATAAGTCCTTTATGGGTACGGAAATGTTCCAGTCTATGGTTAGCGGGCTGACGGTATTTTTTTTCCTTTTAAATTTTGCTTCCCTTTCGACCCTACGATGACCCGTGTAACCCGCTCTTATTCAAAATTGTATAAGAAGTTGATCGTAGTTGCGTACCAAGTGGAAGATTAAAATTAACATTGCTTTGGCAATTGAATGTAAATATTTAATTAATCACATTTATTATAAAAGAATAACGATTTTATTTCATTCGTGCCACTGTAAATCGGGTTTTAGGGCACTATATTTATTTATATATTTGATCCTTCGAAAATGGCTTAGGCATAGCGGATTTGATTGGCACCACTGTCGGAAGCTATAATAAGCGATTTGTCTCGCATTAGCCATTTGGGACGACCTGTAAATTCTGTTCGTAATTCACTGCACAGTTTAGGAACAAACACAAAGCAGGCCTGCACGGAAGGCAGTTACTGGGTTAGGTCCTGCGGTCGGCAGCCGTTTGAAAGCCATTGTCGACATAATTGCAAGACAGTACTGCTTGACAACGGGCAAGTGGATTACTGGATTACGGAGTTACGAGGTAACAGAAGGTGCCTTATGTTGTTTGCAACATATTAACGTACCGGTTTTCAAATTGCAC